AAATAATATAACTACATAATACTGTATAAATACATAAAATACATAAATACATATCATTCACCAATGAAATGTGATTTCGCTACTATTTCACGATCCAAATCCATCACCTTTCCAAAAAGCACACCCCGCTCCCAACGCAAAACACCAGAAACAGACATAACATCAACAAGAATGCCATGAGATAAACATAGGTTGCACTGACCACAAACTTTATCAATAAAATTCCAAATATCATATACATTAATACCAGCCATTTTGATCCTTTGTTCATTCTGAGAACGCGGAAAGGTCTCGTCCACCGAGATCTCCTGCCAACATTTATTGATTCTCTATATGATTGATTTGGAGTAATCCTGACCGCAAGAGAATCATCGAAGTTTTGTGATATTAGACCTAATGCCCCGGTGGCATTCGAAATCTGTGTTGCCGTGTTTATGGAGAATAATTGAGAGTCCAAAGGGTCCATTGCATTTGTTTTGAAGTACTGTCGTACTTGCGACTTCATAAGAAAGTCGTCATCTGTCGCATAAAATATTGCTTTACATATTGGTTTTAACTCTTGATTTGGCTTGCATGGCTTTTCGAGTGTCGTCGTATTGGTAGTATCAGGCTCATTTCTCATAATAATGGAATCTTTGTCTTCCCGCGACTGTATAGATTCAGCATTAATTATGTTTGAAGGTGAAATTCTCGTATCCGTCTTTCTCGAATTCAATATACTCGATGAAGAATTTGGAAAAATCATCGATTGATGTCTCCTGACTTTCTGAGAATATTCTGGTATAAATACCATTTGTGGCTGTTGTAATAAATCGCCCGATGACCATCTTCGTTCTCTTTCCAAGGCATTTTCCATTTTTCGAAGAGCGATTCCGTTGGGCGATTGTTGGTCAAACTGCCTTGTGGAAGGTGATGAAGGGCGAGACCCGCCTACTCTATTTAAAGACTCGTTACTATCCTCCCCTACCTTAATAAGGAAGTCTCTGTCGGATTTCTCAAGCGCAGAAGTTGCCGATATTTCGGCCATCGTAATGCCATCACCGTTGAGATGCAGCGTTTTATGTGATGAAATCGACAGTGCCGAAGATTTGGCGAACGATTGTTGCGTCAGTATAACGGATTCGGCTTTGACCACGTAATAGTGCACGTCACCAATGATATTCATATTGTTCAAGGGCTATTATTATTGACAAATCAAAAAAAACAAGCGTAAAGGGATTAGAGATATCAAAGGTTGACAATAAATGAATATTCATTAGTATTGGTCGATGCCTACGTTCTTTGCCTTCATTCGGTGTAATAGTCCTTGCTCTGGCTGCGTCCTGAACAACACCTTATTGATGTGATGTGCCGAATAGTAAGATTGATAAGTTTTCGATTCATCCAATGAATCGGCCGTTGTCACTCTAGCCAATATGAAATCTTTTCCTTTCTCCGCGTGTTGTTGTATGAGCGTTTCAAAAGATTCTAGCGTAAACGGGTCTTCAGTTGTCGCGTCTAGCAAATAAACCCCTACGTCACGATTATCCGATGACTCAGTCTTATCGGCGGATCCGGAGGCACTGTCATTCGGTAACAATGATTTTCTTTGGTCGATAAGTTGAATGAATCGCCCAGAAACTGCTGCACTATCGTTATCCATGTTATTTATCGTTGAACAATTTGAAGAGCTACTGGGAATGCTTTCTCTAGACAAAGAGTTCTCTTCGTGCGAAAAATTTGTTGATTTATTGTTCTCATGAGCTGACACAGACGCCGACATCTTGAACTACAATCCACAAAGTTTTACAAGATAATCATAAATGTGAAACCCACGGACTTATATATACTGTCAGGTTTGTTGCACCAAACGTATACAAAGTTTTTTTTTTTTTTTGTAAAGACTTTCTGAGACGAAGGTGGGTCAAGGAAAGGAGTATTAATCAAGCTTATAAAATCGGACCATTCATACTATGGAAATTTTTTTGATTACAAGTAAATTAAGATAGTACGCATAACAGTGTGATACATTTCCATGTAGAAAAATTATACGTATTTGTCATCTCGATTTGCCTTTGTGTTAC